CGGCGCTTGCGTAAACTACGCCAGAGCGCGTACACACCTCACGCATCGGATACCGTGCGCACACCCAAAGACAGTTGGACATAGTGGTGTATTAGAGGTAAAAAATGATATAAATACTGTTCGGTTTCTGGCACAAACCGATCGTTTCGTGTCTTAGGACATCAGTGTGTCGTCATGAGCCGCAGGGTTTAATTTGGATTTGTCTGTGCATGTTTTTTTTACACTCATAGACTTTGTTACCATTGCCATGCATTATACGACTGATAGACTGCAACGGTTGGACTTAAAAATCATCAAATGTGTTCTACTGAAGAAACAAAGTCACCTACATCTTGGATGCCCTGGGGGTAAGCAGATAAAAATCACATTTTCATTTTTGGATGAACTATCCCTTTAAGGTCCTGAGAGGAACAATTTGTTGTACCTACTGCAAAACAGATTTATTAAAGGAAATGGAATTGAAATAGTAAAATTCCAATAAAAATACACACCTGTGCCAAAATGTATGCAGTTGGCAATAACACAGGCAAAATTAATAAAAAAAAAATGCAGCCTCTGTGACCATAGAGACTTCTTTCAAAAACATAAAAAAATCACAGCGAGCCCAAACTTTTAAACAGTAGTTAATGCGTTAGTTCTGTGGGTTTTATGTAACGTCTGGTATCTCCACAGGTATTTTGGCTTTATTACCAAACATCCAGCGGATGAGAGGTTCGCCTGTCACGTCTTTGTGTCTGAGAACTCCACCAAACCGCTTGCAGAGTCTGTGAGGTCAGTCTGGCTTTATCTTGGCTTGACGAAGCTTGAGTTTACTGATCTACTGTTTAAGCTTTTCCTTCTGAGACTATATTTAGTCTGCATCTCCTCCTGGAGTTTTCAAGCTACGACCACCAACCTCGGCTCAGACATCCAGACTGGTCTGACTCGGGCTGCTATATCATTTCTAATTGACCGGACTCGTGTTTTTCGTTAAATGGATGATCAAAACTACTAATAAATCCCATAGACTTTCACTGAGGGGCATCAAAACTTTCGTACAATAACACATATAGGCCCGGTTTCATAGACAGGGCTTAGCCTAAACCAGGATTAGGCCATAGTTCGATTACTAATTTTTATAAAAATGACACGTGTTTAAACATGTCAAAATCATGCGAGCAACATGCTAAAACATGCTAGCAACTTGTTAAATCATGCTAGCAAGCTGCTGTATTATGCTAGCACTGTGTTAAATCTTGCTAACAACATGTTAACTCATGCTAGCAACATGTTAGCAATGTGTTAAAACATGTTAGCAACATGTAAACTATGCTATCAATGTGTTAAAACATGCTAGCAACATGTTAAAAATATGTTAAATCTTGCTAACAACATGCTAAACCATGCTAGCAACATGTTAAAACATACTGTTAAAACACAGTAGCGAAGTGTTAAAACATGGCAGCACCATGTTAATTTATGTTAGCAACGTGCTAAAAAATGCTCGCAACATGTTAAATCATGCTAGCAGTGTGCTAAGACATGCTAGCAATGTGTTAAATCATGCTAGAAATGTGTTAAATCATGCCATCAATGTTCTAAACCAATGCTAGACACATGCTAATCATGCAAGCAGCATGTTAAAATATGTTAGAAACATGTTTGATAATGCTAGCAACATGTTGAAGCATGCTAGCAATGTGTTAAATCACGCTAGCAACGTGCTGAACTCAACAAAATGCTAAACTATGCTAGTAACATGTTAAAAAATGCTAGACACGTGTTTAAACGTCAAAATCATGCGAGCAACATGCTAGCAACTTGTTAAATCATGCTAGCAAGCTGCTGTATTATGCTAGCAACATGTTAAAACATACTAGCACTGTTAAATCTTGCTAACATGTTAACTCATGCTAGCAACATGTTAGCAATGTGTTAAAACATGTTAGCAACATGTAAACTATGCTATCAATGTGTTAAAACATGCTAGCAACATGTTAAAACATGTTAGCAACATGTGAAAAACATGCTAGCTTATTTCTTTAAAATATGCTAGCAAAGTGTTAAAACATGTTAGCAATGTGCTAAATCATGCTAGCAACAGGTTAAACATGTTAAATCATGTCATGCTACATGTTAACAATGTTAAAACATGCTAAAAATGTTAAATCATGTTAGCAATATGTTAAAACATGTTAGCAATGTGCCAATTAATGCTAGCAACCTGTTAAACATGTTAAATCATGTCATGCTACGTTAACACTGTTAAAACATGCTAAAATGTGTTGAATCATGTTTGCAATTTGTTAAAACATGTTAACAATGCTATATCATGTTAGCAACATGTTAAATCGTGCTATCAATGTGTTAAAACATGCTAGCAATGTGTTAAAACATGTTAGCAACATGTGAAAAACATGCTAGCTTATTTCTTTAAAATATGCTAGCAAAGTGTTAAAACATGTTAGCAATGTGCTAAATCATGCTAGCAACAGGTTAAACATGTTAAATCATGTCATGCTACATGTTAACAATGTTGAAACATGCTAAAATGTGTTAAATCGTGTAAGCAATATGCTAAAACATGTTAGCAATATGATATATAACGCTATCAATGTGCTAAATCATGCTATCACTGTGTTAAAACATGCTAGCAAATTTGTTTAAAAATGCTAGCAAAGTTTGATGCTAGCAAACATGGTAAAAATGTTGTTTAGCTTCATGCTAAATCACGCTAAAACATGTTATATCATGTTAGCAACGTGTTAAAACATGTTAACAATGTGCTAAATCATGATAGCAACGTTAAAATCATGTTAGCAATATGCTATATCATGTTAGCAACGTGAAAAAAAATATACTTGCAAATTTGTTTAAAATGTGCTAGCAAAGCATTAAAACATTCTAGTGTTAAAATATGCCAATTCATGTTACCAACATACTAAATCAAGCTAGCCACATGCTGAATCATGCTTGCAACATGCTAAAACGTGTTAGCAGCATATTAAATCATGTTAGGAACTTGTTTGAACATGTTATTAAAATTTAATTGACTTCCAATACAATTTTCAACTTCAAGCTTTTCAAAGTTATTTCAAACTCTTAAACAACAGTTTAACACCATGTGCATCACTGTGTCTATCTCTCAGCATGTTTCCATGGTGAGTTTTGTCCAGACGAGCATCTAGACTTCCCTGTGTCCTCTTGTTGCTAGCAACATGTTAAAACATACTGTTAAAACACAGTAGCGAAGTGTTAAAACATGGCAGCACCATGTTAATTTATGTTAGCAACGTGCTAAAAAATGCTCGCAACATGTTAAATCATGCTAGCAGTGTGCTAAGACATGCTAGCAATGTGTTAAATCATGCTAGAAATGTGTTAAATCATGCCATCAACGTTCTAAACCAATGCTAGACACATGCTAATCATGCAAGCAGCATGTTAAAATGTTAGAAACATGTTTGATAATGCTAGCAACATGTTGAAGCATGCTAGCAATGTGTTAAATCACGCTAGCAACGTGCTGAACTCAACAAAATGCTAAACTATGCTAGTAACATGTTAAAACATGCTAGACACGTGTTTAAACGTCAAAATCATGCGAGCAACATGCTAGCAACTTGTTAAATCATGCTAGCAAGCTGCTGTATTATGCTAGCAACATGTTAAAACATACTAGCACTGTTAAATCTTGCTAACATGTTAACTCATGCTAGCAACATGTTAGCAATGTGCTAAAACATGTTAGCAACACGTAAACTATGCTATCAATGTGTTAAAACATGCTAGCAAAATGCTAAACCATGCTAGCAAGCTGTTGTGTTATGCTAGCAACATGTTAAAACATACCAGCACTGTTAAATCTTGCTAACAACATGTTAACTCATGCTAGCAACATGTTAGCAATGTGTTAAAACATGCTAGCAACATGGAAAATCATGCTAGCAACATGTTAGAAACATGTCAAACCATGCTAGCAACGTGCTAACAATGTGTTACATCTTGCTAACAACACGTTAAACCATGCTAGCAACATGTTAAAACATACTATCAATGTGTTAAAACACAGTAGCGAAGTGTTAAAACATGGCAGCACCATGTTAATTTATGTTAGCAACATGCTAAAACTTGTTAGCCACTTGCTTAAACATTTTATCAATGTTTAAGACAACATTTTAATAGCATTTTATTGACTTGTTATTGAGTGAAATCTTCAAACTGTAAGCTTTTTAAAGTTTCAAACAAGGCTTTGTCAAGCCAACATCAATGTTTGTTTATAAACTTTACTCATGTGCTACAATATAATGCATCTGTAATATATTGCACTCAATTTTTCATTCTAAAACTTTTTACTGGTTCAGAAAGTGTTTATTAGTATATTCTCTGTCTTCCTTAACAGGAAAGCTTTCCAGTTGTACTATAAAGAGTTTGTGGAGGTCTCGTGTCCAACAGAAGACATCTACCTGGAATAATCTCGGACTACAACACAGCAGTGTATATTACGACTATGCTACATGAGTATATGGGAAATAATAATATGTATATAATCAAAGACTAATATATCTGACAAAAAGGACCAAACGAGATGAAGAGTGACTGACTGAGGCTTGTAATGTGAGGCATATGACCTGGTTGTGTGTAGACTGACGCACAAAAGAAGAACCAAATGAAAAATTGTACAGTAAAAAAGGCTGAAATTATTTTCCAGATATTGATGATTTTGGATGCTTTGGATGAGGCTTTCATCCGTTTCTCTGCTCTTGCTGCTGCGCTGCACTTCAGGCTTCATAGAGGATATTTTTTCATAGCACAAAACCATGCATTCTCATAAAATATTAGTAAAACATAAACGGTGACCAGTTTAACGAGACGAACAAATCTGCCATTTCAGCTGCTTGCGATGTCTTGATGTCTGTTGTGTTTTACAGGTATACCAGCATCATTCATTCCTAAGACAAGCCTGCAAAGGGAAATTCATAAGTATTATTCATTTGAAACGGTAAAATAGGACTTCTTTGTTACGCAGTTAGTCACCAAATGAAAGACAGATCTATACATAGCTACAAAGGAGTTACAGGGCAATTTTATCATATTAATAGAAGTCATTAACAGCTGATCAGAAAATGTTTTAGGACTTTCAGTATTCCTTTTGGATCACGACATTCCCTCTTATAAGTGCAATGGAAATGGTTAAACTACATAATAATAATAATAAATACTAGTGCCACAGGCTCCTGTTAAAGCTCGAAGGTAAATGAGTTTGGAAGAGCTGCATTATTTTTGGCTTGGTTTTAATAAACTCCTGAGGCATTTCTTGTGAAAGCAAGACCTTACATCAGTGCGAACAAATGATGTGCAAATGATGTGCTCATTAAAGACCTGTTCATCAAGGCACATTTGTAGATCACTTGTTTCATTTAGATACCAATATACTACAAACTTAATATATTTAATGGAGATAATACATGTTCTACATTTGTTTTCCAGATGTTAATATTGCGCATTTCTGTGAAAGGCTTATGAATCATTATAAATAACAATATGTAAAATTTAAATCAATACTTGGAAAGGTTTCTTTACGCAGAGGGTGCCAGCGACCTGGGGTTTGTTGTTGTTTCACTTCACAGCACGATATTAAATTAAATTAAATTATTTTTTAATCTTGGTCGAGCAACATTTAATTCATTAGACCCTATCACTCATTCTTTGAATTTTACAATGTTTTTTCAAAGCTTTTCTATACAGATAACAGACCAGATCCTTTAATATTTAAAACAGGTTTGCGTATAATTAAATGGAAAAATATTACTATTTACAATTAATCACCTTTATACTGCAACGGGCAGGTAAGCCATTTTCTGTGAATGTGCGAGACTTCCGTTCATTAGCCTAAATTAGAAGAATAACAAAGCCCTACAAACCAGTGTTTATGATTAAAATTTACATTAAAATAATATGATAATACCACTTTGCAATTAAGCAGAATAAGGGGCTGTTTTTGTACAACCTGGAAGCAAATGATACCGGAAGTCCTGCACGTTCAAGTTAAACGACGCATTTACGTTAAAAATAATTATAAATGCCGCGATTATAAAGTCAATTATTACACTGCATTTAAATATACTTGCACCAAGTCAAGTTTCTTTTTACCTGCTGTTGCTAAGCCTTTTAGCCAATCAGAGTTGAGCACATGAACGTGACGGACAATCAGAGGCGTTTCAATGAAAGTTTCTTTTTACCTGCTGTTGCTAAGCCTTTTAGCCAATCAGAGTTGAGCACATGAACGTGACGGACAATCAGAGGCGTTTCAATGAAAGTTTCTTTTTACCTGCTGTTGCTAAGCCTTTTAGCCAATCAGAGTTGAGCACATGAACGTGACGGACAATCAGAGGCGTTTCAATGAAAGTTTCTTTTTACCTGCTGTTGCTAAGCCTTTTAGCCAATCAGAGTTGAGCACATGAACGTGACGGACAATCAGAGGCGTTTCAATGAAAGTTTCTTTTTACCTGCTGTTGCTAAGCCTTTTAGCCAATCAGAGTTGAGCACATGAACGTGACGGCCAATCAGAGGCGTTTCAATTAGTCACCACGCAGAAGATCCGCTCAAAACGCCAGTTTTGCTCAATGCATGTACACTTGTCTTTTTAATAAGTCGACAACATCCAGATAGAGTCGCAGTTTACGTGCCAAAACCTCATCTGTGTTACCCAGTTAGACATTATCTGATAAAATAAGCAGAATTCACAGCTGCTCCTCACAAACTCAATTTATACGCATTCAAATGGCATCTAGCCTGATGAAGGTCTATTGAATTATCTGTTCACTGCTTCACAAAACTTCATCGATCATGTTCTTAATAGCTCAACAGACTCAAGGATTCGTTCCATCTGTATGAGACAAACACATTTACTGTGACACAACAGACGTTATACACAATAATACGCAGCAACTCACTGCTCAAGACAAAAATGATAGACACATATCTGGAAACTTTATTTATTTACATGGTCTCAAACATGAAACTTGATCGTTATACACAATAATACGCAGCAACTCACTGCTCAAGACAAAAATGATAGACATATCTGGAAACTTTATTTATTTACATGGTCTCAAACATGAAACTTGATTATGGCACATTTCTACTGGCAAATGCACCACGCTGTCAGCTGGTCAAAGCAGTTTTGGTGAGACGTCAATGGTGTTGATCCGTAATACAGTCTGCGGCTGAATAATGACTGTGGAGGGAAAAAAGTTGAATTAATGCATTGATGAAAAATTCAAACCATGAAAGACTAAACATCTATTTTGGATTTATTGTTCCTCATACTTCTCTTTCTTTGGAATCGATGTCTCTTCCAGAATCTCATGTGAACCATAGGCCAGGATTCGGTCTTCTCAATCACCGTAGCGTGAACTTGTACTAAATCACGGCTGAGCATTACAGGAATATAATAACATAACATAAGCTCTACTAACAGAATCTGAGTCAATTACCACAGAGAACAACTGAATAACTGACTGAAAGATAAAGTGTCATCAGATATTCAACTAAAACCTATCAATGCATAACAGTGACTTTTCATGAACCCCCCAAAAATATATATATATTTGTTTTAAATGTAGATGCACCGAACTTTTGTGTCCATTCTACCACATCTATATAAATCCACAATCCATCATAACATCAGCCCATGCATAATAGATTAATAAATGTGCACAAACTCAAACCAGATGGGAGCAAACAGTAAACAAAAACAAAAAACAAAAAAAGTTTACCTACAGTAAAACTCGTTTTCTAGCAAGAATACAATTTTGTATTGTCTATTATAAGTGCATTTCTGCACACATTTTAGGTTTGTTTTGCACGGGAATGCGGAGCATTTAAACACTTAAACTCACGAATGTCTTATTTTCCACTAAGTAATGCACTCTGGGTATTTAAATGCAAGTATGTGATCGTCAGACTTGTGCATAAAATAAAGCAAAGATTATTTATTAGGAAAATAAAATGACAGAATATACAACATTGTGCCATGGCAAACTGCTAATTATTATATATAATTTTTTTCTTAACAAACTGAGGTCAAAACAATTACGTGTTAATCTTGCATCCATGGTGTGTCAATTTTGATTAAATTATGACTGTATAAACCTCATATTAGTTTTAAACTAATGAAACTAGAATTAAATTTGCATCTTACCTGAGAAGTGGTTTTCCAACAAGAGTGAAATCATTTCCTCCAACTAACAGCACCTGCAAAGAAGCGCTAGCATGAAAACTTCGATTACTATACAAATATGTATCTTGTGTTGCATGCAAATAGAAGGCAACAAAACTAACAAAATTTAGGAAACAAAACGTGCATCTACTCAGTTCAGGAATAATGCCACGGAGAACGTGCACTTGTTGCGTAGCTTGTAAAACGCCATCTTTTTTGCATTTACCGTAACGTCTTGAATTACACACAGTTATATTTGTTGAATTATTTCTCAGTATCAGCCAAATAATGAATGATATGTAACTGGAATAATCTCCAGGCATGTGACCTCAAAAACAAAATGACTTAAAATACATAGGCAATAATAATTAGTTCAAATAAAGTATCAAAAGCTGTTTTTATTGAGCAAAACTGTTAAAATACATAATGTATTATAAATAGTGCTGTCAAACGATTAATCGCATTCAAAATAAGTTTTTTTTTAAATGTAATATATGTGTGTACTGTGTATATTTATTATATATATGTAAATACACACATACACGTATATATTAAATACACACATGTATTTACACGTATTTATATATATATATATATTATATATATATTTAATATACAAATAAAAATGTTCTTAGATATATACATGCATGTGTGTGTATTTAAATATACATAATAAATATACACAGTACACACACACATAATATGTAAACAAAAACTTTCATTTAGGATGCAACTAATAACGATTAATCGTTTGACTGCACTAATTATAAACAAGAGCTAATGTACATTACGCATTATAACAAATGCCAGCAGAGGGCGCCAACGGCCTGACGATTGCTTTACACTTTACTGCATAATTTAATATTTCATTCAAATGTCCACTTAATCTTCAATATTTGGTTATTTCTTTATGATAGAAAAGCCACAGCCACTGTAATTTCTTCAATATGTGGACATCAAAACGTGTGAACTCAGAGAGGGGGTTTGAGCTTTTATTCTGAAATCGCGATTAACAGTTAGCATATTAAAAAACAGGTATCGATGTATTCTCCTGGGATTGCACAGATATAAATGATTTACCTTACAAATCTGATTAAATGAACGTTATAATAAACCCAAACTCACAACAACATGCAGGGATGGAGCTTGATACGCTCCGCAGATGTAAATGATAAGAGTTTGTGTGGAGCAGCATTTACTGTGAACCTACACGCATGTAAATAATTAAAGCGCATATATTAAACCTGCATATATTTATTTAATTAAATCGTAGCGTTTGTGAATTCTTAATAGCATGATGCTTTAATATGATTTTGAAATGGGTTTAATATGTGACCCTGGAGCACAAAAGCAGTCTTAAGTCGCTGGGGTATATTTGTAGCAATAGCCAACAATACATTGTATGGGTCACAATTATCAATTTTTCTTTTATGCCAAAAATCATTAGGATATTAAGTAAAGATCATGTTCCATGAAGATATTTTGTAAATTTCCTACCGTAAATATATCAAAACTGAATTTTTGATTAGTAATATGCATTGCTAAGAACTTCATTTGGACAACTTTAAAGACGATTTTCTCAATATTTAGATTTTTTTGCTCCCTCAGATTCCAGATTTTCAAATAGTTGTATCTCAGCCAAATATTGTCCTATCCTAACAAACCATACATCAATGGAAAGCTGATTTATTTAGAAAAATTGACACTTATGACTGGTTTTGTGCTCCAGGGTCACATTTGTGGAACGCACCACTTCCGGTATTTTGCAAATTCCTCGACACGGCCAAAATGCAAACGAGGATTTTTAAAAATCGAATACTCAAATAGAATCAAGGATTCATTGAAGCCCTAAAAATCTTACATATCGTGCCTTTAAATCGTGGAATGGCCTTAAAATTTTTTAAGGACCCAGCTGGCCATTTGGATAACGACGACGACCCAAAAACATTTACATGGATCATCCCACTGAGGTCAGAAAACACGGAAATCCCATCCCCGAGTCTTTGCATCTGCAGTCTGTGTGAATCTGAATGCAGTGTTTGAGTGGATGAGAAAACCTTCTCCATTCTTATCCTGTCGCCACAAGCCGCATCAATGTGGTTTTCAATGAGGATCAGGTCTTCATCGGTCACTTTCCACTGACGGCTGGCGAAATGAACCACAGCAAACAAGCGTCCGCACTCTCCCTTCTCAATCAGCCCGTTCACCTTCTGCACGACCGCTGTGAGAGACGTCATTAAAACAAGAACATCCGACTCAAAATCAGCAAAACTCTCATTCTGCTTTCAGGGTATTTACAGAATGACGGAATAAAATGCAAGACCTTCAAATGCTAAAATGAAAAAATTAGTGCGGTCAAACGATTAATCGCGATTAGTTGCATTCAAAATAAAAGTTTTTGTTTACATTATATATGTGTGTATAATGAATATATAAATACACACACATGCATGTATATATTTTGAAAATATTTACATGTATATATTTATATTCACAATTTATATTATATATCAATATATTTAATATATAAACAACATATTTTTACTTAAATATATACATGCATGTGTGTATATTTATATATGCATAATAAATATACACAGTACACACATATATATAATGTAAACAAAAACTTTTATTTTGGATGCGATTAATCGTTGCCCAGCACTAATATAAATATACATATATATAATAAATATATATATATAAAGAAGATGGATATATATAAACATAATTTTGCAAAAGCTTTAGTTTACAAGTGTCTCAAACTGTTCTGTCCCCAAATTCCATAATTAAGATTTTTAACAATATTTAAGACTTTTGTAATGCAATTTCAGAATTTAAGGCATGCTTTTATATAAACGTGGTAGCGTTAATTGGTTTTCACTTCAGTTATTCAACTAGGAGCCAATTTCACTATATTTATGGCATGTCAAAATCATCAATGCTCGTCTGAATATAAATGCTTTTTGAGAAAGTTAGCAACCAGATGTCAAGTACATCAGTTGAGAGCAAAGCAATCATTTAGCTCAATTTTCACACATTTTTAGCGTTCACAGCTGAGCTCAGATCAGCCAAACACTTGCCTTGATGCCGTCTTTCCTCTTCTTCAGGATCAAATGCAGGTAGTTCAGGCCACGGCGGTCTGGAGAGTGACGTCTGTGGAACATTACTGTAACAGCACATTAAACTAGGTATGCATAATAAATACACAGCATGACTTATCACGATATATAAGAACATGGCAACTATTACATGTCCTCAACAAGTCTGAAAAATGAAAATATTCTTTGAGGTATACAGACCAAGGCTGGAAAAAGAGAGCTACTGTTAACAAAATACAGAAACACACTTCCATAAAAGCATATATATACACATTTTGGTCCAATCACAAATAAATAAATTTATCAGCAGCATCAGCAGTGGGTGCTGTTGGTACATTTTATCCATCATTTTCTAGTGTATCTCAGGTGGCCTGCATTTCACCAGCAGACTAACAGCTGAAAAGACTTATGTTATAGTTTAAGGGATCTCAAAAGAGAGCAGAACACACATGCACACTACAAGATGATGTTTACCTGGCAGGATAAATGATGCTGCTGGAGCTCTGGAAGCCAAAACCACCTGCAACACGAGACGGGGACTATTCAGAGATATATACAGTGATGCATGAGAGACCCTGGAGCACAAAAGCAGTCTTAAGTCTCTGGGGTATATTTGTAGCAATAGCCAACAATACATTGTATGGGTCAAAATTATACATTTTTCCTTTAAGCCAAAAATCATTAGGATATTAAGTAAAGATCATGTTCCATGAAGATATTTTATAAATTTCCTACCGTAAATATATCAACACTTAATTTTTGATTTGTAATATGTATTGCTAAGAACTTCATTTGGACAACTTTAAAGGTGATTTTCTCAATATTTGGATTTTTTTGCACCCTCAGATTCCAGATTTTCAAATAGTTGCATCTCAGCCAAATATTGTCTCAATCCTAACAAACCATACAACATCAATGGAAAGCTTATTTATTCAGCTTTCGGATGATGTATAAATCTCAATTTCGAAAAATTGACCCTTATGACTGGTTTTGTGCTCCAGGGTCACATATACGTTTAGAAAGCAAATTATAGTGGTATTTGAAATTATTATTATAGTTATTACTATTATTTGACACTCTCACACTCACACACACACCCACACACCCACACACACACACACACACACACACACACTCACTCACTCACTCACTCACTCACTC